CTACAACCTGAAATTAAAATGTTTTTTTGTTTATATTTAATTTAAATATTATCATTCACACTTGTTTGTTTTAAATGATTTTAGAAATGTTAACAGAAAATCAAGCATTTGTTGGTTCTGTAGATATTCATTTGACAACTTGTATAACTCATTACTTTAAAGAGCTACTTTTGTCTGTAATTCCAGCTGTCAGTCTTTTGGAGTAAAGCTGACCATACACATATTTCTCTTGTTCCTTTTAATGTGGCTCAGTTCCCCCATCCATGATAAAAGGGGTGAATAGGGGAATCCCCCCTTTTATTCTGACAGCCGGTGTTCTGTCGGATTTGCAGACGGTGTTACGTTTGTTGACCTACGTCATGCGCACAGCCACGCCTCCAAAAAAATCGCTTATGCGCACACATGCATACATACATTGAACGGAAAAAAAATGTTTTTCCAACTGAAATCAGCGCACATGGGCGCTGACATCACAGTCTTCATGAGTCACACTGTGGGCTTTGAGTGGCCCAGTTGGTCACGCTAGAGAGACTGATTGACCCAGTGTGGCGAACTCAGGCGAAGCGTCAATCAGTGTGAAGATGGTGACCTTCATGACATGTTCGCACATGTGTATATATAGAATATTTTCTTCAGTGTTTTTAATACAGCGTATGCGCAATTGCGGTGTGGAGGAGGCGTGGCTGTGCGCATTACGTAGGCCGGCAAATATGATAGAACACCTGCACCCAAAGCTGTCAGAATACACGAACACTGGCTGCAGTTACTGTCAGATGGACTTTTTTCATGCCGACTCCTTCGATTTTTCTGTTAAAGTTTGGCAGGTGGTGGTGGGCTGTCCACAACTTTAATTTCTAAAAAATTAGGGATGCACCGATACCGGTTTTTCGGTACGAGTACAGATATATTTTTATAGTACTCGCCAAAACTGAATACCGATACCAGAAGTCCCATTAAGGAAGCCAAGCGGGGTGTAATGACTTGCCACTTGGCTTCCTGGTTAACAAGGAAGCCATTTCCATGCCCCCTCGTCACCTGGTGACAAGGAAGCATGGAGTCGGCTTCCTGGCCAATCAGGAAATTAGGGGCCGGTTGATGACTCGCCGCCTGGCTTCATAGTTGGCCAGCTTCTCGACTAATCAGGACTCCAGGCGGCGAGTCATTAAACGGCGTCCGGCTTCCTGATTGGCCAGGAAGCCGGCTCCATGCTCCCTCGTCACCAGGCGATGAGTGAGCATGAAGCCGGCTTTCTGACCAGACAGGAAGCTGGGGGGCGGGTAATGACTCGCCGTCCGGCTTCCTGATTGGCCAGCTTTCTGACCAATCGGGAAGCTAGGCAGCGGCTCCATGCTCCCTCGCAAGTGACAAGGTATCGGCCCCCGGCGCATCCCTACTAAAAAAAAAAAAATCATGAAAACTTGCCACTTACTGGTTTACATGCAAGCTTTCATACACAAAATCTCATCGGCACGTTCCGTGTTACCATCAGAGATTTGAATGATGGTTGAAATTTCCTTTGATTTTAATGCTCGATTTTGGAGTTTCTTGAACTATAATCCACATTCACTGGTAGAATTTTGTTAGTTCGAGAAAAAATTTCTACTCTGCTCCTTCAAATTTCAAAAAAATGTGATCGTAAAAATTGTACGAATGTTTCAAAAATGATTCCACTAGTGCATGGCCAAGTGTCTTGCACAGCTTGATCCTGACATTTTTGCCATTCTTGGCAAAATTTCTCTAGATCAGGGATGGGCAACTCCAGCCATCCGGCTGTCAGTCTTGTAGTGCCTCCTGGGACTCGTAGTTCCACAGCAGCTGGAGTTGTCCACCGCTGCTCTTGCTCATAATGAATTCAAGTTGTTGAACAGATTGTTTGTTTTTTGTTTTTTTTTGTCTTTTCTCGTGCTACAGATTTTAAATTGTATTGAGATCAGGGGTTTGACTGGACTATTCTAAGGGCCTTGTCACACTGGCGATGCTGGTGCCCCTCCACCAAAGACCAAATCAACTAGGAACGGACTGCCTTCCTAATGGGTGTTGCTCCCTCATTGGGTGATGCATGCTAGTGGTGGTGCACCAATAAAGCCATGTGACACTGGTTCAGCCAGCAAGGAAGAGACACAATTGGAGAAGCAGGAAATAGGTTTTCTTCTAAGGCCCCGTTCACACTGGGATTTCTGCAGCAAGAACCTTTTGGATGGACAGGTGTCCCCATTCAAATGCAGTGACTGGACAAGCACCATGACGCTCAGATGTGAACATGGCCATAGAAATGAACGAAATGCTCTGTGTGAATGAGGGCTTAAAAAAGGGGTAGGCATTTTCGGCCCTCTAGCTGTTGTGGAACCAGAAGTCCCATGAGACATTGCAAGACTGACAGTTACAGGGGTGACTCCTAGAAGCAGAGGCATGTTGGGATTTGTAGTTTAAGCACAGCTGGAGGGCTGGCGTTGCCCACCCCTGCCTTACACACAACATTGAATGATGCTGTGCAGTGAAAGGTAGTTATTTTGTTCGTAAATAATGGGAGACGGATATGTCACTGTTCTAGGAGAAGGAGGAAGCATATTTGCTGAGTAATTGTTTTTCGTTGTGTTTACATTTTCCTTTTAATCCTCCAAGCATTGTATGAGAGTCTTTTAGCACACAGTGTTACTGTACATTGAAAAATGATTTCACTAAACCTACATACTTAGTTCAACCGTTCATAAGAGAAGCATGGAGGCTCCATTCAAAATGCTTGTTTCTTGTCACTGAAGCTGGCTTTCTTCTTCTGAGACCCCATTCACAATGAGCGATTTGTTGCGCGATTTCAGCTCAAAAATCACTCTATGTAGCTCGTCCAATGCATTTCAATGGAGCTGTTCACATCTCACAGCTCAATGTCACCTGTAGCATGTCACTCGAACATGACCTATTTTTCCAGCTGATTTTGTGCGATTTGGCCCCAAAAGACTTTGATGGACTGCCAAAAGAAGCGCTACGTAGTGCAACAAAATGTGCCCTGTAGCTCAGCTCAAATCCGCGCTGAAAAAGCTATCACTTCATGTCGTCATCATCAAAGGCTAACATTTTGGGACCTCGCACGGACTCTTCATCAGAGCGCCACAGTGACAGAATACATCTGTGAACACACAACTATATATGTGTGTGTGTGTGCACACACACACACACACACACACACACATCAGGCAAGGTGCATGAAAGAACATACAATTACATCATAATGAAGTAATTCCTGCGAAAATTCAAAAAAATGTGCATTTCAAAACTGAAAATAAATCCGTGAGGTAAAAACAAGAAAACACATCTCAAAGGAGATTCTTAACAGTGTTGTACAGATGCTTGTGCTGTACACAATTGGAAACAATTTAACCACTTGAAGACCGGGTGTTAAACCCCCTTCCCGTCCAGGCCATTTTTCAGTATTCAGCGCTGTGGTACTTTGACATTTATTCCGTCATGCAACGCTGTACTGAAATGTAATTTTATACCATTCTTTTGGGAACAGATATAGCTTTCTTTTGGTGGTATTTAATCACCACAGGGGTTTTTATTTTTTACTATATAACAAAAAAAGTACAGACAATTTTGAAAATAAACCTGTTTCCCTATGAAATGTAATGAAACATTTATTATCACCCCAATTTTTTGGTCAAATATAAAAGTCGGGGTCACGTTGGGTAAATAGACACCAAACATGTCAAGCCTTAAAATTGTGCGCTTCCGCAAAATGGCAAAAAACGACCACACCAAAAATTGCCCATAGGCGATGCTTTACACGCTTTTACTGCTCATGAGTTTAGTGTTATCAGTGATTGATGGCCCTAAAATTATTGCTCGCACTCCGACGTTCGCGGTGATATGTAACATGTGCGCCACAATAGGCGGAATTGTCGTTTTCACATGTAGGCGCACCTGACGCATGTTTGCGTGTGTTTTTGGGGGGGCGGGGGACTTTAAAAAAAAACAACATTTGGGGGGGGGGGTTTATGCTTTAATTTTTTTTATTAATGTTTTTTTTACACTTAATCACATAGCGGGCTAATAAGCTCCCTATGTAATAGCCAATTTACATGACAGGTCCTCTTTATGGAGACATCAGGGGTCTCCAAGACCCCTAATGTCACCTCGGAACCCCCAGAGAAGTTGATGAAGCAGAGATCTGCTTCATCATCTTCTCCCCAGCTTCTGTAGCTGGGAATGACGGCTGAATGCGGAAGTTATGTAATATACATCACTTCCTGCATTCGGGGACCGGAGAGGAGAGCAGAGGGAGATCGTGTACCGATCTCCCGTCACAGAGCAGCCGTGAAAGTCCCGGCTGCAGCGGGCACAGGGGATCTCAAGACCGGCGACGGCACTGAGGGGAGGGGTTAAAACCGCACCTACTACAAGCGATCGGGCGTCTTTCTTGAATGTGATTGGTCTTGTCTCTGCCCCCCTTCTGTAGTTTTCTGCTGGCAGCCTGCAGTGGGTGGGCCTGCTGGGTCCCTCCCACAACTCTGCTCTTTGCACAGGTTATGTACAGTACTGTAATTATGTCACTGCTACTTTTACCTAGGTTCTGTGCACACATCATGGATTTATATCCTTTGTAGCTATTGAGTAACCACCGCTGCTGGTGATCCCTTGCTTGTTGAATGCATGAAGCAGAAGTCTGTTGTCTCAGTAACTTATTTCATGCATGCATGCATCTCCCGTCTATACATATTCTTGGGGCACTTTGGCTGAAGTGCTGGACTGCAGAGCCCACTTATAATAAAACCTTTTCATCAGCATGGTTTTTGAGGGACAGGACCTTTTTGGACCAGTTCTCCATAATGTCATCAAAATGCTACTTGTAGCAAGAGCACTTATCTTCCCCGGCAAAAGTTGCAGAAGGGCCAGACTGCAAAGTCATCTCCCACTCTGACCTTCAAGAAGCATTCCTTTTGGGGATGCATTCTTGGTCCTCCAAGCTTGGCCTTTTGCCCACCCACAAAGCCTGATATTTTCTTATATAAGCCTTCCTTCGCTTGAAGGTGCGACCCACGGTCCAGAGTGTGTGTGTGTGGGGGGGAGGGGTTGCGGCGTCTTGCTTGCACTCCTGATGCTTGGGTGCAGGAGGTGGTGTGCCAAGGTTAGAAACAAGTATTGTTCCCTGCCCCCTTCTTGTTTTTTCACTTCTAACCTTCCTGTGTCTCTACATGGAGTCCACCATTGTCATTGCCTTTCTGCACCAGGGCCTTTCCGGCATTTTAAGGACATCAAAGATTTATACTTGCTCATCTTTTTCAGTACACCAACGCTTGGACTACCTCTTGTTGAAGGAACAGTCAGCAAGGGCTCTGTTGTACAATGTATCTCTGAGTGTCCAAAGGATGCAGATGTTCGAATGGATCCTGAAACTTCATAAATTGTCACTGGAACCAGCTCATGGCTTGGAGTATCTGGGTCTGGTCATGGGCATGTCTCAAGCCAGAGTTTTCTGTAGACAGGCCAATTTAGTTGACCCCAAGTACAGACTGTTTCTCCTTTTTAGTGGCCCAGGAATTTGGCTTTGCACACACGGGAAGTCCTTTATTTCCATCTTTTGAAAGATCCTCACAAAAGATGCTTGGAGGGCCATCTGATCCACATTCAGTCAGACAAAGCTACAGTGGTGCCATATAGCAACCATCCGGCAATAGCCAGAAGTATCACTGGGGCAAGAGAGGTGGAGCGGATCCTGTCATTTCAGATGGACCCTGTAAGGATGTCCCAGTTTCTCGTTCCGCCATCTCTAGGTGGCTCAGACAGTTGGCCTACAGTTATTTTGTTTGCCAGGGTCCAGTCCTCCAAAGGTTTTAAACTTCCTTCAATAACCCCCAATAAAAGGATTTTACAGGTTACATTGTGTTGCATTTTTTAGTACAAAAAAAATCCTATTTCTGTTTTCAAGCTTCCTTTAGGTAATGGCCATAGGTAGGTAAATTAGTAATTTTGTATTGTTAAATAAATACCATGTAAGTTCCCATTTTTTTTCCTCTAAAAAAAATTGATTATTGTGTTATGTAAATTACTTTTTTGTATATAAACTATTTTAATAAACACTAGAGCAATACTAGTTATTTACTTAGTAATGCTATACTATTACTATTTAAAGTGTATCTCCATTTATCATCTCTTTCTGTCCTGGTAACAATGGTTACTGGGACAAATTGAAAAGGTGAATATCCCCAACAGGGACACAGACAGCAATGTAAAGGTCCTAATTTTCTACTATATCCTAAACTGAAATAAAAAATGTTTTCCAAGATTATTTAAAGCGAACATTCCTGCTATGAAACGGTGTGCAGTGTCTTCTAGCGAGATTTCACCTGCTCTGCAGTCCCCAAGAATATCTCTCACGTGTTCATAAGGGAGATATCCCTAACTGTTGTGGCTGCTATAAAGCCAAATAATGGATCTTGTGGCCTGTGGTCATATAATCTCAAAACATTATGGTTACTATTCCTGCTATACTATTACCTGGCAAAATCATAAAATGTAGCTCCTTCCAGCTTTGCTGACTGTTTACAAAGCCATGATAATTTTCACACTTCTTAACCAAGCAGGTAAGGTTTTCTTGTAGTGCAAACAATTTCTCCTGATATCATCATTATACAGTGTTGCCCAGATGGAATACAAGTTAATTTGTTATGCATTCCCAGTACTGTTATTATATTAGCACTGGTTACTGTATTGGTATGCCTTTAGTGAAAGCTCACTATTGTGCAGAATATTTTCAGATCTTCATTTCACTTAGCTCTGGTGGCAAATTGAATTTGTTACAAGAATATGACTAGAGCTAAAACTGTTTAAATTGTTTGCTTAATATAGCATCGTAATTGTTTCCATTTTTGTATATTATGAAGGTCTATCAAGAAGATCACATCAGGTGAAAATGGACCAAGCTGTTCTTCTGATTCATAATCAGTTACATGAGAAATTTATCATTTATTGGCGTTCTGACCATTGCTACCAGGTACCGTGTTATCCTTGTTCTGTCTCAGTGTCCTGTCTGTTTCAGTGTTGTTGTTTTTTATTTTTATTTTAAGACCTATTTGGGCTCCTTTTTTATAATGTAGAGCGGATCTTCCAAGCCATTCTCCAGTATACTTCTTAGGGCTACACACACTGCAACCCACATTTAATGACCCGTTCATAAAACGGAGGCCACGGTGTTCTTATTGCAGAGCTTTGTGATTGGAGGAGAGCCATTCATTGACAGAAGGTCAGAGTTGCATGAAAGGTCATTTTTTTTTCCACTCCAAAGGCTTCAGAATGCCAAAGACAGCAGAGTACAATGTGCATTTCTTGAAGCACACCATTGTGCTTAAAGCGTTCCTGTCAGGGAGTCAACGAAAAAAATACATTAAATCCTGAAAAAAGTGGCGTCATATATAACTGTCCTTGAACCTTTTTGGTAATGGGTATCTAAACCCCAAAAGTCTAAATCAATAGGCAGGCTCTGTGAGAAGTGCATATTCACAGGGATGAGTAAAATTGTAAGTGAATTGAAGTATATCCTATGCACACCTTCAAGAAGTAAGTTTACAAACTTCTGGATCAATATGGTTTTTATTAGTGGGTAGAACTTATGAAAATTCAATATAGAAATACAGATTTATATTTATTTTTTGACCATAGATGCCGTTTAACTGTTTTTTTTTAAATTTTTATTTTTTTACAGTGCCTCTTTCAAACGTTATCTGCTGCAAATCCAGCAAAAAGGAAAGACACTGATATGGTATTAGTAGATACACAATATGCCATCACTCTGCAACTTAACGATACCTCAGGAAACACAGAGCTCTGTCAGTAAGTTTTACAACTGATTTACAATTGTCTTATTTCTTGTGCTTGTAGATATGCCTTTATTGTTCAATTACACTGAATTTATTAAGCCACCTTTAAATAATAATTCCTAGTATGTTATACTCGGTTTTTTTTTTCTTTCTCATTTTTGTTTTGGTTTAGCCACTTCCTTTATTGCACTTTTAGGTTTTGTTTGTTCCAAGATATGTGTAATTTTAAAATCTGTAACATTTTTTTTTCAAATGCGTTGTGAAAACATTGTAATAGTCCTGCCAATTTGAGACATCTCTATTTTTGGGACATTTCTGTTTTTTGAATACTCTAGGTCTGATGAGAAAGTTGGTTGCTGTGGATTAGCGAACTTTGCTGATCATTTCTTTCTCCTAAATCTCTTAAATCACTTTTGACTGTCTTGAGGTTGTCTATTAGCAAGGGGAGAGGTTGACCAACTGAACGAATTTCAGCCAATTCACCAGGAATTGGGGATAGGTTAATAAACACCGAATTTCAGCCAATTCACCAGGAATTGGTTGAAATTCAATCTGTTGATGAGCCTATCCCCTGGACAGAATTTCATAATTAGATTGCTCCGTGTGTACCCAGCTTTAAAAAGAAGCACATTATGTCACATTAACAGAATAAAAGCTATTGGCATGTATAAAGTGCAGGCATTTACTGCAGCAGGTTTAAGTCACTGTGCTCCAGCTGAATTCTATTCTGATTGGGCAAAGCACTGACACTTCCAGGTAACACTTTAAAGCTTGCTTGCTTATGTCCTCCTGCCCCCCCCCCATCCCTTCAGATTGGCTCATCACTATGCTGGGTTTCCACACTGGCCCAGTGTGTGATACTCAACCCAAGTTAGCTTGCTGCTCAAAGACTCCTTCAGGTTGTTCCTGCCAGCTGTGTGTGCTAGCTGATAATGGGTTTGTCCTGTCTCCCCAGTATGTCAAAAAGAACTCACGGTGACTTGGTGGTCTTCCAAATAGCGCCCCACCACACTCCTCCAGTTCCACCTATGTACAGTATAGCTATTTGAATCTACAGGATCACATGATCGGTTCAGCTGGAGTTCTTTGTGTAGTAAACAGGAAGGGGTTCTGAAAGTATCGAAGCCAGAGGGATGGACTGGACAGTCAAGCAGCTAGCATTTTAAAGGATGGGTGCACTTGAAAAAAGTGCCCTTATCATTTTTGCCCCCTCTCTCGACCTAACCAACACTCCCCTTCCTCAGATGCTTACTTATCTTGATCCAATGCCTGCAGCCTATAGGGATTGCTTACTTCCTGCACAAAGTAATTTCTCTTGGCCATGCCTGTGCAGTAGAGCACCATAGACTTTTGTGGGGCTCATCTACTTTGCAGACTGAGTACCTCCGTCCGTAAATCAGCTTCCTCTCCGCTGGAACCCGAATCCCAGTGTCCTCAGCCCAAACCTGCCTAATTATTGGACAGAACCAATATATTAGGACAGAACACTAACCACTCAAGCATTAGACAACACCAATGTTGTGGTGGAAAACAAGATCTGCTTTATTGAAGACCAGCTCAGTATATATACAGCTCTGGGGGTCTAAACACATAACGCAATCAAACATGAACAGCATGCAAACAGACACCCCCTCCCCGATGCCTTAATGAATGAATAGGGAGAGAGGAGACACATGTGATGGGATTATCTCCTGAGTGTATCATAGTGTGATTTACTCATCTACACCCGCAGTCAGCTACTCCTAGAATCAGCTACTCCTAATCCCATCATCAACACAATACAACAAAGGGACCAATAAACTGTAACAGTTCAATGTCCAGAATTATCCCCCTTCAGTGCTCCTGGAGTCACAGCCTGTACATATAATACACACAGGGTCATCCAAATGTAATGGCAGGGAAAATGTACAGTACATCCCTCCACACATAAACCTGGTACAATGGTTCATTGTAACCCCAAGAGGTCCGAGGGGGGTCTCCATAGTTCTGGGTCCATAGTCAGTTGGAAGGAGGCTAGCCCTCAGGCTCCTCCAACAGTGACGGTTCAGTCCGTCACAGAGGCGACATGCAGCATTGGGTGTAAACAAACACAGGAGGCTGCGAATGTCAGATCTCAGTAAATCTGCATCTGTGGAGGGAGAGGGTGGAAGCTATTAGGTCAGGGGAGGGGTGCAAAAATAGAACAGTTGCCCACGGCCACCAATCTGTTTTTTTTTTTTCTGTCATTCTTTTGGAAAATAAAGAATAAATCTAACTGGTAAATGTGGGAAGTGCTAGAGATTTCCTTGCTTCAACTTTTTGCATCAGTCCCTATTGTATATATTTAGCGTATATGGAGTGTGTCATCACAAACAGGCAGATCTCAAGGGACTTCTGTCACTCTAATGTACTATCCCTTAACACACACATGCACTTGCACAAACACTCCTTTATGCAAACAGGTAAATGTTGTTTCTGATGACCTCTTGTTTCTTTTTAAATAGGGTACACTACAGGTTTAGAGAATTTGGGAATTATTCTTTGTGGGTAACCTCCAACTCTTCCAATACCAAAGATGTAACATGTGACATAATAATCAATTATAACCCTGGATACACCAACCTCCGTAAGTATGTATTTAGGAAACACACTGTTCATCTTGCATATAATAAAGAATAAAAACACAGCTCCTTGTATTTAATAAAAGGTGCTAGGGGGATTTATCAATAGTGGAGCAGTCAAAATCTGGAGCAGTTGCAGGGCCAAACCAAACCAGCTTCTATCTTCAGTTTCATCAGCTAGGCTTTGAAAATGAAAACTAGAAACTGATTGGTGGCCATGGGGAACTGCTCCAGATTTTGTCCGTCTTGATAAATTCCTTCACTGTCCCTAAAAAGGGAAAAAGAAGAGGTAGAGGGTAAAACATACTCTCCGGCGTGCACTTGCTCAGATCTTTGTTGTCTTTGAGCTGTGATGACTAAATTATTGTTAATCTAAAGCACCTACTGGAGTGTAGGGAGTTTGATCCCCAACTGCACTCTGTGGTTGCACCCGCCTTCCCCTATGTCACTACAGTTCACCGTATCGATGTAAGGGCAAGTCGGGTGGAACAATAGCCTAAAGTATGTTGGATGCATAAGACTTCAGATGTGGAAGCTTTTCACACAGCATACCGAAAAATACGTTTTACAAATATATTTCTAAACTTTTAGATAGTTCTTTGGAGAAGGGGTTTGTGCAGATTACAAGCTACTCTGAGCAGTTTTAAAGTGAAAGTAGGGGGACAGACTGAGCGTCCTCTCATTAACATACAATGCTTCTAAGTCTTTAACCCTTTGTTAGGATAGATGGTGTTCAGATCTAGTTTACAAGTGATAATGAAATTTGCCAGCACAGTACAGACAGGGTGAATTAAAATAAACCCAGCTTCACACAGCCCCCTCCTTAACATTACATGGAGGGGAAGCTAGGAAGGATTTTAAAGCAAGAAAAAGCACTTAAAAATGTAAGCAGCAATTTTTTATTTGCTATGTGAATTGAAACATGTAACAAATAAGTAGTTATCCCAATTTGGCTGCAAAGGTGGAAATACACTTTTAGGGAACCTTATCTGTGAGAGATATGTAGGCTTCTATTAAGCCAGTTGTGCAAACATTAGTAGACTTTAACTGCAATACTTTCTGAACCACAGACCTGGAAGATAATTGTTTGTTGTGGATGAAGTGGGAAATTAAACCGTTAAAATTATTCTCAAATTTTAAATTGCTGTTCATGAGCCCATTGCAAAGATTTTGTCTCCCTTACTGTCTTGGCGATGCTCGTAAGTCACTGGAACAGCAAGGCTCAGACATCATTAAAAACGTCGGAAATTTAAACACTTTATCACTATACTGGAATTGTCTTGTCTGTTTCTCCATTGGAGAGCTTTCCCCTCACTTCCTGTTCAGATAGGAACACAAACAGCAATGAAAACCTAAGAGGCTCTAATCCTTCCCTGCTGTGTTTACAAAAGCATACTTTTTTTGTTATTGGATTTGGGCTTTGAAACATGTTGTTAAATGCCTTAAAGTATATGTAGAGCCAAACATTTTTATATTGTGATAGAGTAAGAAAGGGGTTTTTTTTTTTTCCTGCTGGGGAGATTTCCTCTCATTTCCTGTCCCAGAGACATAGCAATAAGTAAGAGAAAATCTTTCCAAAGTGAGAGTGAGAATTTCACCTCTGAGTTGTCCGAAGAACAGGTTTTCCCATTGGAAGATTTCCCCTCATCTCCTGTATCTGTGACAACTGAAAACATTTTGGCTTTCCTATCACTTTCTCTACTAAAGGCAATCGTTTTCAGGACAATAGTAAATGTTAAGCTCTTCAGTGGAGACACAGACCGCAAAAAAAATAAACAAAACCCTTCAAAGACTCCAAGTACAGGAAAATTCTATTCATCTGCCATGCAGCTCCTAATTACCCTTTGTGGGCTGACAACACAGAGCATTTTTGTGGATTGAGTGGTGTCAGCCCTCCCCAATCTAATCTGGCTCCATGAGTGTCCCCAAGACTTAGGACAGCCGAAAATGGCACAGACAAACAAAACTCTTTCCATGGTATATTTAACAAACCAAAAGGTTGCTAATAAGAGATGTTCATTGTTAGGACTTGAATACCCTTTTAACAAAAAGTATGCTTTTCCTAAACCATAGACTTTATTGATTTGTACCTAGCATAATGGGGGTGATTTACTAACCTAAACACACGCACGCACTAGGTGCGTGTGATTTTTCACACAGCAAAACGTATTTATCAACCAAAAAGTCTCTAAAAGCATATTTCCACTAATGCCATATATGGAAAAATCATGCACATGATGCATATATAATGCTGCTTCACAGTTTAGACAAAAATGGTTAGCTCATGCATTTATATTCCTGCATTCATCAACGCAAGCAACACAACATAGAGCTAATTTACACAACACCACCTTGCAATTCATGCAGTGCTTTGCACAACACACCTGCTGGGTGTGTACACACTACAAAAGGTGTATACATGTCCGTGGTGTGTTTTATAAGGTTAGTAAATCAACCCCATTTCTGTATAATGAAATAAATGGGATGACCCCTCTGTCCTATTTACTGCATTAGGGAATCTGTCTATAGGGACTTCAACAAAGTATAATTTCTCTCCACAAGTGAATTTTGAAAAATGGAATTACCCACTCAAATCTTTGAATTTCGCTCACAAATTGAGAGCACTTGGCCGCACTGACCAATGAGAAATGCTTTTTAACTGGTTAAATATGGTTTTGGATAAAATATTTTTTTGTATCGGGACAAATAGGTTGTCATGAGGGACAGGTAGACTGCCCCCCCCCCCACACTTTAGTCCTTGGACAAGTAGTGTTTTTTTATTTTATTTAAATTTTTTTAATTTTAACTCCCCTGTCAAACAGTGTATCTGAACTCTTCCCTTGTTCCTTTGCTTCAGGTCCCAGTCAGAGCAGATGAAGTGGAGCTTGCTTTAGCTGCCATATAGATCAGTTTCTTTAGTATTTAGCCTGCCATGTATATATGAATGAAGTGTATAGATGATGTGATATGTAAATATGAAACCGTAATATTAAATACATTTCCATGTTTCCTCCTGCAGCTGTTGTTATTGCATTTTGTATCTACGTGGTCATTTTTATTGTCCTGACCTTGGGATCATTTTTGATAAGGTAACCACTATACTTATGTTAAATACAACAAAAAATAAATGTTTATGTGAAGATAATTTGGGATAAACCGTTTGACAATTCCATGGTGTATATCCCCTGGCTGCTGTTGTGGCAGGTGCTACTGCATACCTGGTACTTGTATTTGAAGTGTATGTTAGGTGGTGTACTCCCAAGTACAGTTACTGTGGAGTGCAATTTGTTAAAATGTATCAAAGCCAAAACCTTTTAGTTAGTGATCAGGGGTTAGAACTTCTGTCAGATTTTATTGCGGTCTCTGCCACTGTGATTTACAATAACTATTGGGTCTGTTTATAAATGGTTTTTAAACAACTTTTATCTAGGATTCACACATTTCTCCAAATGAATCCAGTTTGAAAAATGAGTGAATCTTTTATGAAAACCTTTATAAATGGACCCCTCTGTGTCCTGATGAATATTGTCATTAGTAAGTAATGTTATATGAAAATTCAAAAACTGGAATATTGGGGAAAGATCCCAATGGGGAGACAACTGTCCAAGAGGAAATTTCCCTTATTTTGAACAGATTTCCTTTTTCCTTTCTGTTGTGTCTATGGGCCAGCAAGTGAAAGCAATTCTCCCCAATTGGACACAGATGGAAGAATTTAAAACAAACCTACTCTAAAGGAAAATTGCACAAAGTGAACTGAAAACCATTTTTTCTGCAGACTTCACTCTTTCCCCTCCTTCTTTTCCCTCCTTAACAGGATCAAGTTTATGTAATGTTCTTTTCATAAAAAGAAAATTTGATTTACGGTTGAGCTGACAATCTTCACACAATCCAATCATATGGAAAAAAGATTCCTGTTCACTTTGAATAGCCAATCATGTACAGCAATTTAAGTGAATGTTTACACAATTGTGTGACCATTCTCCACTCCTTTTTAGTAAATCATCCTTCTTGTTTGGTGACCAGATCATGTATACAATACATGTCTGTCTGTAGGTTGCTTTACATCAGGGGTGGGAAACTGCGGACCTCTAGCTGTACTTTTTTTACTACAAAACCCAAAATGTCTCTGGGAGTTGGGCATGTAACTTTTAGTCTTTAAATCCATAATGGCACTCGTAATTCCACAACCGTTTGGAGAGCCAGAGTTGCCCACCCTGCTTTAGATGTACATCAAACCACATTGTAGGAGCTATTCATGCATAAACCCTGAAAATCCCAGAGGGCTCGGAAACATTTTGTCACAGTTTTAGGTAATCTTTGCTTATTGCATGATAATCCAGAATATTTCATGATCTCCCACCTAGGAATAAATATACATTGAATAATATTCTATTTGACAAGATCAGCATTTGCTGTTCTGCTTTATGCAGCTGTGATTGCCAACATGATCTCTTATTCAGAGGGTTGTAAATATAACAATGTTACACAATCCCGAAGGTTTCCTGTCATGCTTGGCACGTGTTTTTTAATGTGGGTTTTCTGAAGGCTCCTTGTGGATGTGGAGGGATTTCTCTTTTAAACTGAAATAAATGTACCCCTGGCTCTTTCCACACTTACACACTGCACTGAATGCGGATGTTCTAAGTTTAGTGCAGTGTGTAAGTTCCAGTACGTATGTAAACTGTGGGATTGGATACATATCGGTTGTTGATTTATACATGGTTCCTGAATGCAGCTGTACGGGTTACCTGTCACTGCTGGCAAGAGTAATACGCCAAAATGTGCGCTGTATGGCCCCCTTGAAGAGTGGGGGGGTTGAACTTTTGTTTTGGCTAATAAGTGGAGTAAAATTTACATCACAGCCCTCTTTTTATGTGTTGACCCATTTAGTCATAAAATGGACTTGAAGTTTGGAGCTTATGAAAGTTTGTTTTCTTCTGAGACCAAGATTATGTGCATTCAATGTGTTCTTTTCTTTTATAGGCGAAGCCCTATCCAGAATTGGTTATGCAAGCAGATCAATCCTACTGAAACAGACCGACTCATTAATTCTGTAAGTTGGAGATTAAATCTTGCGTAATGAAATAATGTGTCAGCCCTCATGGACTTCTCAACTAGGGGAGAGAGTTCTATTTATTTCAAAGAATGTCTGTACTTTAAAAGACAGAGATAGATTTCTCTATATTTATCTCCAGAGATATCAAGCAATTTTGAAAATATAACATATTGAGGCTGATTTACTGTGTGACTATATTAACTTCAATTATCCAATCATGTAAAAAGTAAATTCCTTATTGATTATGAGCAGATGAAATAAGTAAACGGGAATTTGTTTTGCATATGATATGGATAATCAAAATTAATATTCAAACAATTTGAGTAAAGGCTTTTAACTCCCTTATTAAAAACCACTTTATGAACGGGGTGTTAAACCCCCCTTCCTGGCCAGGCCATTTTTCAGTATTCAGCACTGCAGTACTTCAGACATTTATTCCGTCATGCAACGCTGTACTGAAATTCATTTTGTACCAGATAGAGCTTACTTTTGGGGGTATTTAATCGCCACTGGAGTTTTTATTATTATTTCTTTTTCTGTTTTCTGTTTTCCTTAAGTTATGTTATGAAACATTTATGATTCAACTTTTTTTAGTAAAATGATGGGGCCAGGTAAATGGACACCAAACATGTCGCGCTTTAATATTGTGTGCGACTGCAAAACAGTACCATACCTAAAATTGGCCATAGGCGACGCTTTAAAAGCTTCACTGCTCATCAGTTTAGTATTCTCAGTGATTAATGGCCCTAAAAGTATTGCTCTCACTCCCACATTTCTGGCGATATTTAATGTGTGGCGTAATCGTTGTTTTCGCACGTAGGCTGTTATTGGAGAAAACTCTGCTTGAAACGTCACTTTCGTGAGATTAACAGGATTGCCTGAGTTCTTTCCAGGCCCAGTTCTCTAGGCTGGGTGAAGGAGTTTAGACACTGTCAAAGGCAGCCTCCTGGATTTTTACTCCTTGCTCAGAAAATAAAAATGGTATAAATATTGTATTTGTTTCTAAAGGAGCTGGGATCTCCAAGCAGGGCTGATCTTTGTAACCAAGATGCCCATCTGGCTACATGGAACACTGCACCTCAGCGGCTGCGATCATTGGACACCTTCAGAGGGTAACTATAGAAATGTATAGATTTTGTAATTCTTTATCTAAAGAGCATTGCAGTATTGCAGTGTAATTTTCAGTACTAAGATCTCAGTGCTTTTTAGATCTCGGCATGCAACTGGTATTTTTCAGCACTGATGCTGATTCCTGATAATATAAGAAATTTTATGTAGAGGTTAATTACAGTAGTGTTAGAGATTAAGTTAGGGTCAAGGGACATTTTAACCACGTACCAAGCAATAGTTTTAGCACCATACATGCATACATACATACATACATACATACATACATATTTATTCTCCTTCTGGTGTTGCTAGTGCAATGGAAAAAATACACATTCTAAAATATGTATTTACTCAAATCTAATGTTGCATATTTGTGATCTACATAAGATATTAGTAAACAATAACCTTGACCATTTTACTGTTTTGAAAAGGAAACCGGTTAACAAATGTCTTATTTGTATTTTCTATTTTAGGCTCGCTCTTATTATAATGGTATTTGTGAATTATGGCGGAGGAGGGTATTGGTTCTTCAAACACCAGAGTTGGAATGGTAATGTAATGCCAGCCTTTTTCTGTTCTCTATATCATTCTCTAAGGCTCAGACAGATGTCACCTAAGGGCTGATTGTTGAAAGCAGTAGTGAAGCTTTTTCATAGCAGTTAGATTATTTTATTTTAAAGAACTCCAAAAATTAGAAAAAAATTACCCTTGCAGTGGGGCTACCCCCACACTGCAAGGGTTAGGTGCTCCTTTGTCCAAGGGGCTCAGAAAAAGCCGTTTTACTCACCTGATCCTTGGTCCCATGGCGGTCGGCCCACACCTCTCTCCCCTTCTACTCCGGCTATGGATTACCCATTGGCATCCTCACATCTAATGCAGGTCACATCTCCTGCAGCCAGGAGGGAGCAGGCGGGACCAAGGATCAGGCTCTTCTTTAAATATTAAACCTGATAAGCTGCTATAGTCATCAGCTTTACATTTCCTGTGTGTTCCCATACTCTGCATTATAGATTTAGGGTTGTATATTTCATGATGATACTTGTAGGTTAGTAAGCGGAAGCACCAAGTTGACAAAATGCAACAGGTTGTGGTAAGCTTTGTTTTATATTTTTCCCCTGTTCTGATTCTGAATATCTGGAAATTTTTTGGCCTAATTCAGAAAGGGAACTAGAGAGGAAAGGTTGTGCAGGGGTTGTTGGAAGGAGTCTGAATGCTCTTTTCAGTTTGGGAAACATAAAACCATTTCTCTTATCTGAAAACTTTAAAAATAGCTCTAAATATAAAGTAGAAAGCATGCTGCCCTCAATAACGCACATTAGCAATGCTCTTTACTAAAATAATCACATGGTGCAAAGAGGTGGAGCTTGTACAAATGGGTATTATGCAGATGTGCCTAGGGCATTATGATGGCTAAATACAGTCCTGATTTGGCCTAAAGCAAATCTTACTGTACGTGTTTGTAGGGCTGAAACGACGAATCGATAATGACAATAGTTGTCAATAATTCTCATTATTGATTAGTTGGCCTGCTTCTCTTCTCTGCGCTGGGAGCCAGCGTTTCATGGCCTCTGTGTCCCCGCCAATCCCTGCTGGGAGGGGGGAACACAGACCCCCTGCAACCGGTGCCCAGCAGTGAGGAGAGATGCCCCACCCCCACCAACTCAATCTGCTCTGCAGCTCTCTCCTCCCCGCAGCGTGATATAGCAGATATGAAAAGTGGCAGTTAGGCTGTGGGTGACTTCTCACTGCCTTCTGGCCAATTCCTGGGCCCGGCTGACTGTGTGCAGTTAAGAAACACAGAGGGTTAACTAAAAATGTACCACTAATGCTTACCATTACTGGTAAACAGTTTAAATTACTTGAATCTTTGTAATATTGACTAGAATGATGATTCTGGATAAAATAATGTATTTATTTATTTTTTTGGTACTACAAACACAAATAAATGCAAATAGTTTACACATTGTGATTTTTTTTTTTTTTGAATACACACAATATTAATTAGTTAATTAAAGCTTCTGTTGTAGCTGTCATTCATATATGTACGCAGAGCTTTCAGATTGATACATGTCATGCAGGGAGAATTCATTTCTGTGTAATCTGTTTAGACCCCTTATAAAAACTAAAAAGGTGAGAAAGTAATTTTCGGTTTCGACCTGACAAATTTTGGTGCAGGAGGTGCGTTGCGGGGCCATTCATTCCAATAGCACCCCAAATGCACTTCAGTGTGATTGCCTGCACTGGAACCCTTGGTACAAAAATGCCATGCGTTCCAGTGTGGTGCGATTGCAAACAAATTGTGCATGCAGTTTGATTCTGAAGTAAACTTTGTAACACTGCATTTGTGTATTTTACTTAAAATTTAAGAATGGTATTTATTTGTGTTTTTTAAATTTATTTAATTGAAATAATTGGTCAACGAATCGATTTATTAAAACAATCGTTCGTATTTGTGCTCAAGAAGATAATTCCGCTAACTTTTTAATATGATTTATTTATTTTATGATGCGTGATAACAAATTGCTGTTTAACCATAAAATTCCGTTTTTTATTTTGTGGGCTGAACCTGGATATCATTTTTACATTTCCTACAATCCCTGACATGTTTGTGTCCTCCACTAACATATGCAGAGTGTAAACGGCTATCAATACTTTAGGCCTCATTCACACTGGATCATTGCGTTACCATCAGTTTTTTAATGGTAATGCAAGGGCAGCGAAAAATGAATGGGTGTGAATAGGACAGTGCACACTGCTGCGTTGCCGTCCACTGCGCTGAAAAATGAAGTAGAGCATGCTCCTTCCCGCACCCGCCCCACTGCACGAGTGGGAAAACTAACTTTAATGTACACAGCCGACAATAACAGTTTAAATGCAAGCGTTCTGGTGGCTATATAGCTGCTGGATCGCTTGTATTTTGTGCAGGTCAGCGCCTCCCCCCCCCCCCCCCCCCCCCCGAAACGCTTCAAAAACCCGTGCAGGCACCCTAAATGTGATTGCGTGTAAACTTTTTCTGCATGCATCTTTGTCACCTGCTTTTGTTTTTTTAATTTCTAGCAATGGTATACTAATTTATTATTTTTGTATTATTATTTCTGACAGGGTTGACACTAGCAGACCTGGTCTTTCCATGGTAAGCATATTCTAGCTTAATTTTAATTAGATTTTACATGCAGAAAATATAGGATGAACCTAATTTATGGAAAAATATGCAATAACTCTTCAATACTTGATGTCATCTATGGTCGTACCCCCTTACCATACAGCTGCAATGCAAAGTAGTATACAGGCTAATGCCAATGTAGCATTTGTTAAATCCAGGAGAGTGGAGTGTAGGTATTCCTTTTTTTCCTTTTTCTATTAAGGCAAGTTCAGTTTTACAAAAATCCTCGCATAGACTTTAGTCTGGGGGTTAACTTTATTAATAGGGGTCCCTTAATTAAATTACCCCCACCCCCCCAGACTAAAGTCTATAGGACATTAGTGTGCACATGCCATCAGCCTTGCACTAAACTTTTACCTGGCAGGCTACAGACAGCTTTTACAGTAAGCTTTAACTTACAATTACCGGTACATTTTGACTTTACATTTTGGTCTTTTTAGCTATACAGGATCAGTGATGTTGGCATGTGATAAGATTAATCAAGACTTAGACAGGGTTTTCCGATTAGACATTTGTAGAAACAATGCCTAGGGTGGCGGCAAAGGAGGAGAAATTCAATAAGTGTTGTTTTTTTTGACTAAAGGGTCTTTACAGACATAAAACCAATGCCAGGATGCAAGACTTAACACAGGCCAACTCAGGCCTGCAGGTACTGGCACCTACTGCGCATATATAATGATAAATCCTAGTAGGAGTGGCAATTACATTTAGATTCTGTTTATATTTTTTTTTTTTTATGGTTCTGGAGTATTTTACAATAATGTGTTGCAGGTCTGAGTCAATACATTTTAAAGCATATCTAAAAACAAAACCGTAATATATTGCAGCTTACCAGTGCTCAGAAGTAGGGTTGCACAGATACCAAGTACAGTACTCGGTACGAGTACATGTAGCGATACTTTTGAGCTCCAAGACTAGACTAGAGAAAAACTCAAAAATTAGGAGGCAGCTGTCATTTGTAAGGAGCACACGGAGCTCCTGGGATTTGTACATCTCTGTTTTAATGTATGATTTTGTTTTTATAAATATAAATAAAGGGATGCACAGATACCAGTTTTGCGAGTACAAGTACTGGTACTTGCCAAGTACTTACAAGTACGAGTACTGATACATTTTTGTTTATTGTCATGTGACAGTTTTTATAAAACAATATTGACTAATGATTTCAGGACAGTGGTGGAGCGCCAGAGCCAGGTCCCAGCTGCAACCGCTGCAACCCTGGTAGTTCTCATGAAAATGCCAAGTATCTGCACTGGTACTGGAAAAGTATCTGTGCATCCCTAGTTAGAAGTGTTAACTGCATTGTTTTTTTTTTCCCACCTTTTTTTTTTTCACCTGGAGATTCTTCAAATAACACATTTTCTGTCGCTACACTCAACCTTCCTTTGTGTCTATGAAGGAAGCCATGGTTTCTACCCTGACTGGATTCAAACGTCTCTTCCTTTGTTCATCATTACATGAGGGCCGGGGATATTCGTATTCTACAGAGATTAGTACTAAGGTAGATAACATTATGCGCCCAGTTCAGCTTGTTGGAAGTGACAAGGACAATAAAGTTCTGGCAGGTATTTTGTCTACTTGCTAAATAAAACGTAGGCGCACCACACCCATTACAATCTGTTCATAAAATCTCTGTACAATCAACTTTTTAGATCTACCAAAACTATGTAATATGAGGACATATCTAAATTACTAATCAGGCAAGCCCTTGTACCACATACTTGTTGGTGGATCTAAAGGAGATTGTATAATCGGATTGTAAAATGTGTGGTTGGCTTTAGACCGAAAAAAAGAAAACTAATGCAGCCCCACATCTAAGGACTGGTAAGCTGCAATATATACCATTTTTTGCTCTACTGTTTTGTTATAACCACATATTAAAACATAATAATACATTTAATAATACCTGTTAAACATTGAAATATTTTTCCTCTTACACATTTTTGAGTTCATATTTTTTTCTATTTGTGCTGTAAAGTTTCTCTGTGAAGATGTCGCTCTTCAAGAGTAGCTGTTATAGTGGAAGGTGCAGTAGTGGTGGTTTGGTATTGTCCTTTTCTAGGGCTCACTGGCCCTAACTGTAGGATTCAACAGCACTAGTTACTGGTAAAATTGTATAATATTCAAACTGCTCTACCATAGGTTTGTGTTTATCATGGGCACATCCATCCATTTGTCCTTGAATTCAATGCTGCGAAAAGGGAACTCTAGATGGAAGCTGTTTTGGAAAGTTCTATGGAGAAGTATTCAGCTTTTCCTCATTGGATTATTTGTGATAAATGAGAATTACTGCCGTGGTCCATGTGAGTTGTTTTTTTTTCTGTTTTATCTACCTAAGCATCTTATTTGTTGCCAGTCATGAACAGGTTTCTACACCAAGTATATTAGACTGTTGGACATATCCGTTATATTATTTAAGACTATTTTTGTGTTCCTTGTAAAATCACATAGTAGGGAAGTATGCTCCTTTATGCTGATAAAACAGTCACAAAGTGTACAAACATGGTATAGAACACAAAATGTATCTATACAATTCTGTTTAATTTTTTTTTCTTTTTTTATAGTGTCATGGAGTGACATTCGGATTATGGGTGTTCTTCAGCGCCTTAGCTTGACCTACTTAGTGGTTTCTGCTTTGGAGTTGCTGTTTACTAAACATCTACCTGATGCTCTTCCTCCGGTAACACACAGACTGATCTTATTTAGTGTTTATTCACAGGGACAAATTGATTTTTTTTAATTCATGGGTGGCATACTAGCTTTATAAGAGTAGTGTGGAAAATATACACTTTAATGTCTGTTATAAAATATCTTTTGTTATAGTACTTGTTGTTATCTGTCCATGTGTATCAAGGTTCTATGTTTATACGTCCATGAAGTATTACTCTAAACAGGCTTAATTGTATAATACAGATTAGAGGTGCACCAAAATGGAAATGTTAAAACCGAAATAAAAGAAATTGTCAGGCCGAAACCGAAAATGTTTTTTATTTTAATTTTTTCAAATATTTTATTTATTTTTTTATAAACATTTTTTATTTTTGCAAACACTCAGCGATCACTGATCACCGACTGCTTCTACCCGCTCTCCTCTCTGACACGCTGTCACAGGAGGCTGATCGAGCGGTGTACGGAGGAGAGCTTAGCCTCCTGTGACAGCGCGGCCTGTCTCCACCCACCCACCGCTCTGCCGGACTGTGATAGGAGGTTGAGCGGTGTGGGAGGAGAGATGCCGGCTGCTCACAGCAATTATCTCCTGAAGCGCTCGGCCAGCTATCACAGTTTCTCTCCTCCCCGCTGGGACATAGAGCAGTGCCCAGCAGGGAGGAAAGAAAGAATGGATGCTCCGATGTATCGGCAGAAAAATGGCACTTTCGGCTTTATGCCAAAAGTGCAATTTTTGGCCGATATGTTTCGGTGGCCGATATATCAATTCATCCCTAATACAGATATAAGGTCATGTCATTTGTAAGGATGCACAGCTACAAGTATCGGTGCCGATATCAAGTATTTGGGCAAGTACTCGCCCAAATGCTCAGCTACCTTCCCCCGATGCCAGAATGTCCGGTCAGAGGTAAGGGAACATGGAGCCGGCTTCCCGGACAATCAGAAAGCAGAGTTGCAAATTAATGACCCGCCTCCCTGATTGGCTGGGAAGCCGGCTTCCAGGCCGATCAGCATGAAGCCGGCTTCCTGGCCAATGATCAAGCCGGCCGAAAAGCTGCTTCGATGCGGAGTGGCTGGGAAGCTGGTTTCCCGGCCAATCACAATTGAGCCGGCCATACATGGAGCCGGCTTCCAAGGCAATCGGGAAGCCAGGTGGCATGTCCGCTGCCCGACTTCCTGATTGCCCAGGAAGCCAGCTTCTGCGAGTACTGAAAGCAAAATATCGGTACTCGATACCGAAAAACCGGTATCGGTGCATCCCTAATAATTTGTACCGAAATTGAAAGTAATAGTCTCACAATGGCTGGATGGCTTCAATGAATACTGATGGATTGTGACAATGTTGATGTCTGCCCCATTTTAATATTTTCACTATAAACATTTGAATGGTATTCTTTAATCCCAGTCCTTGTATTTGGTTGTTTATAAATAAATGTTGTTTTCCAGAATCGGACGTGTTTTCTATTGCAAGATGTGGTCATATTCTGGCCGCAGTGGCTTATAATTTTGGCTTTGGAAGCTGCTTGGCTTTGCTTGACTCTCTTGCTACCTGTTCCTGGATGCCCCACGTGAGTATTCATAACATAATACATCTTTTCCCTGAAGGAAGTTCCAACAATACATTTGAGGCAACATAAACTAAAGTTGTCATCTTGTTTCCTCACCTTGGCTCCTGCTGCTGTACATTATCAGGCATTTGTTTCAGGTTTTACATTAAAGTAAACTTGTCACAAACCTGGGCTGTAGTATAAGATGAAAATATCTAAGCCAAGGCTACCTTACCAGTTGCCTTACGGTTCCTGTATTCGTGGCTATTACAGCACACATTATCACCTAATACATTAAGGAGCACAGCAAGTTGATTCTCCTAAGAAACAAAACTGACTTTACACACAGAGAGTAACACAACAACTTACAGTGCACTGTAGAGGAATTGGTATCTTAAACCTGAAACAAGGTGCTTTTATATGTTTGCAGTCTGAATCACACTTTATAGACAATAGTCTGATCAACTTACCAGCTGCTGCTGACTCAAAGGAGTTCCTGAGTCCCCTGATTCAGTGTGCACAGGCAGTGAATGGGTTCTGCAGATAACCCTTTTTATTCCAGATGAAACTGGCTCTATGGAAGTTGTGTGCCCTACATAGGGCACAGGAGTTATGATTGACACCCCCTGTATCCAAAGGTCATAGATAGTCAGTGGAGGGGCTGGGTGTCTGCAGATAGGAAGTGTGCCGACAGCCGTGCCTTTCACTGAAAATTCAGTGGGAAGCGGGAGTGTCATCATTTTAAAGAGCAGCACTGTTTTCCATCAAGCATTACAGGCAAAAGCTGACAGGACAGAAAAAGGTTAGACTAGAGTTATAGTTTAAATAAACATTAACAATGACAGCCATCATGTATCTCTCTATCTGTGCATTTATTTATCATGATTTTTCCTAATTTTAGGGGCTATTTGGGACCTGGAGGTATTGGAGAGTTTGGCAAATATCCAAACTGTACAGGAGGGGCAGCTGGTTACATTGATCGATTCGTTTTTGGTGAAGATCACATTTATCAACATCCATCATCCAATGTAAGTTTACATCTCACAGATCATAGCAAATGCCATTTGGAGAAGAAATGTTTAGCATGCAAAATCTCCATGTAGGCAATCAACAGTTTTTTTTAAAGAACACTTGTAGTGGGGAAAACATTTAATAAGCTAAATTTAAAGCAAACCATTGCTGGCACTACATAACAGGCAGTACCAGGTACCTGGATATCGAGTCATGTTTCCTTCTCAATGGCTCAAGTGCTATAAATCCCAGGGTGCACTAATGAACAAATTGACCCAGCTTCCTGTGCCAAGGGCCTAGCTCTTCTACTTTCACCTCCTAAGCTTCGCTATTGTTCAGTGAGGTTGTCTATTTTGATGATTTGGCCAAAAGTAAAACTTAGGAGTGGGCAGGGTCAAGCTCTTTACCCAGAAAGCTTAATCAGTGTTTGCATGGGAAATTTGTGTGGAAAACTAACCTGGCATGCAGGCATTAGAGGTATCTACTCTATGGTGCCTGCAGCAGTTTTTGGCACTTCAGATTTACATTAAATGTTGTATAGAAGATACCTTAGATTGCCAGATCATACCTTTTCTTGTCGTAGAAGTCATCTACTTGACAACATCACTGGAACCTCCCCAAATTCCCATACCCTCTATGTATAAGGGGCTACATTATCAGTTTCCTTCAGCTTCTCTGAGTGAGGCTGAGTTGTCTACCCTGTCTACAATTTTGCCAGTATCCAATCCTCATGTAAGTGGCAATATAATCTGACAGTATCTGAATTCCCTAATGGACTCCAAGAAAAGCATTTCATGGACAGTATAAAAAGTTTTTGGTCCCATAAGTATGCGTTTGGCCCTTTGGTGTGACAATTTGGGCCTGTCAACTGGTGACTCAGGCTCCAGTAGCTTTACTGAGGCAAAGGAGGGGTTTTTCCACTCCTAATTACCCAGAAGTTGAAGGGATGTTTTAGAGATTCAAGGGACGGGCTATTGTTACAAAAAGTAAGATCTGGCATCTTATGGTGCCCACTTTCCAGGCTTAGTTTTGTAATGTTGCTACAAGATAAAATATAATGTATGATGCATACAACTGATGTTCTTTAATTCATAATAAAAAGGTAATTTAGAATAATAGCTATCACGTATGGTTTATTTGCAGGTAATTTATAAAACAACAGTGCCTTATGATCCAGAAGGAATACTAGGAACCCTTAATTCCATTGTGATTGCATTTTTGGGGCTTCAGGTAATTTACACCTAAAAATGTTTTGTCTGTGCTTGGTGGCTTAAGAACAATCAATTGTTGCTTCTATATGGTTACCTGATTTCAGGATATGTTCATACCATAGCAATCCCTTAACATTAGAACAACTGCTTTGTTCCCTTACCCTTTATTACAGGCTGGCAAAGTGCTTGTGTTCTACAAGAATCAGCATAAGCAGATCATAGTGAGTTTTTTCACATGGAGTGTTGTCATGGTATGTAATTTGATTTTCATATTATCTATAATGAATATGACAGGATCTGTATGCATTCATTTTTAATAACACCTGCAGTGCTGTTAGAATCTGGTAACTTGTCATTATGAAGATGCTAGTTACTTGCTTGCCGTGCTACTCCAATACTTTCAGAACTTGTGAGACATTGACCTGGAACAGGTATGCAGATCAGGAGTTTGGTCTACATTTTGACTTTGTAAGCTGCATGCTTTTTCCAGGTTAAAAAATTAAGAAATTTTAAATACCGACGTCAGAAACAGCCTGTCACCAGTGTTCTAGAAAGAGGTCAGCAATGGTGGTTTCCGTGTTCCTCTTAGAGGTTCCCTTTTAAATTTTGTGTATGGTAAACACTGATAAGATTATAAAGAGAAGTAAGATTTCTATTGCCATTGTGGAATGTCCTATATACGCAGCTTAAAATGTCTGTAAGATGCAGTGAATTTTTCTCAGCAGCCCACATACATTCCCACATCCACCAATTCTTCTGAAACATGTCAGGTTATTAAAAATGAATTACATCGGTTATTACATTTTTAATATAACCTGGTTTATGTGCAGTAATTTTTATAACATGCAAACCTGTAAATGTTTTAGCGACTTTTACAACAGGAGATATTTACAGTGTATCTAAAGCCAAAACTGTCTGCTGGGGGGGATTTACCTCTCACTTCCTGTTGTATCTAAATGACGGGGCTGAAGGGAAATATCTTGAACGGGATACAGATAGCAGATAAAAAAATGCTTTTTTGGGGGTTTTTTTTTACGCTTTTTTCTTTTCCCTACTCCTTTTTATAATTAAAATTTTAAAAAATGGCTTTAGATATACTTTAACACGACAAAGTTTGCGAGATTTAATGCTGTTATCTAAATCCAGTTCAGAGTGTATCCTAAGCCAAAACAATTTTTTTCTTTACTTTTTGGGAAAGGCTATCAATCCTGCAAGTTGTTGTTGCTGCAGTCTGTCCCTGCTGGGAAGATTCACCCTCTCTTTGTACGAGAACTAAAAGTGATGAAAAATGTAACATTTTGAGTTGTCGCCAAAGCAAGAATAAAAGGGAAATCTTCCAGTGGGGTGACTTATTGCAGTGACAATCACCCTCATTTTGGCGCTGTCTGCTCTCACTTCCTGTTTTCCATGGGACAGGAAGTGCAGAAAATATCCCCAATGGGACACCGATGGCAAATAAACCCTTTCCTACGCAGGCCAATACTAAAACAAAATGTAATTAATCCTCTAACAAAGCAACTTTTTTTATTATTTCTAAATTCTGCCTGCTAGTGACCCTGCCATGGAGGTACTTGTTCCGGCACAACTGGGAGATAGTGTGCCAATGGTTTCCCAGTTGTGCTTCTGCGTTGTCTCCCTGTCACATGCTACCCTAGTCAAGACTACAAGCAGTGGTGCTAGCACACATTGTGTAGACATGGACCATCCCTGTCACTATAATGAAAGTCCTGAGCAATTATTTGCATGTGATGCTGAGGCTAGTGCTCGGAGAATATGATATTTTGTGAAAAAACATTGCAATTATTTATTATACATATTGCTTTAGAAAACGAAATGTCGTACATCTTTAAGGCGGGTTTCTGTACTATAATCCCTTAAAAGGAAAATGTAATTTACATAAATGTCAAATTTCTCATAAAAAGCATTTACTGCCTTGGAATTTTTCATGTTTTATTGTCACGTAACATTAAATGATAGTAGTAGATTTAATTTTGTTGTTTTACACTGATCGTCAACAGAAATAGACTCATGTGAAAGTGGAAACCAATGTTGTAAAGTGTATTAAATCTTTTCTCCCTATTTATTTCAGGGTGTTATTTCTGCAATTTTGACAAAATGTTCTACAAATGAAGGTTTTATTCCAGTAAACAAAAATCTGTGGTAAGTAGGAAACAATGCTATTGAGTGAATGTTATACAAAGTAAATATGCACCTAATTTTTGCAAAGGTTGTAGTCTACTCCCTAGAGGAGTACAAAAGACAAAGATCCATCTTCTCTCGGATGCCAACAGGGAGTGAATGTGACAAAACAGGAATAGAGGATGCATTTGCAAAACATGCACTCAAAGGAAAAACACTTTTAGTAAACATTGATGTTACTGCTAATACAAGCCAGATTGTAATGTGACCAATACATTAAAAAAAATTCTCTGTTTCATCTTCAGTCCTCTTGTTGAAACTGACAAAAATTCAATGTTGTTCATTTGTTACTATGACATCATGGTATATTCTGTACATACCCATAGGTATTTAATTTCCTGCTCTTGACTTACTGCTTTACCCAGCAGTTGATCCCTGCTTTATGTCAATGTAATACACTTGAACAATATTTACCCTTTGAACACGGTATCTACTGTATGTAGAGCTATAAAGTGTTTATGCTTTGCTTTTCATGAATGTTTATTCTATTCAGTATATTTTAATGTTTACCCTTTAATTCTAACTTCATATTTTAAATTGATACAGGTCCATCTCTTATGTGACAACCCTCAGCTGCTTTGCTTTCTTCCTGTTACTGATCATATATTTCTTGGTGGATGTTAAAGGTTACTGGACAGGTGCCCCATTTTTTTATCCAGGTAAGCAGAGACTAGAACTTCCTTTTTTTTATTATTGGATAGATTAGGGAAGATTTGTATTGCTGTTTGTCCACGCTCCCCCTGTCTCCTTGCTGAGATTCACAGTCTCTATTTGGAAAGCTTTTCAATAGGGACTTTTATTGCAGTGACAATTGTGTCCAAGATTCCCTTCACTTCCTGTCTTCTAGTAAACTCCATAGGAAATCTCCCCAGCCACAGATGGGAAAACGCACCTGACAGGAATTTTAATCCTTCCCTATTCTTTATGGGGAAAAAAAATGGTTTTGGCTTTTAGATGATATATTTTTGTGATATTTCACTTTCAGTGAGAAGAATTTATTGTAATTATCAGTGTGGTATTCTTTCAATCCGTGACTCTAAACATTACTGACAATCTATACTGTATTTTGAGTTTGTGAGGCATTTGATAGACTGTGCTTTAAATATTGCATTATTTCTCCTTCAAGTGGCCATCTGTGTATCAGACAAATTGAATTATCACCTTCGCGTGACCTTCTTTAGAAATTCTCCATGCATCTGCACAACAAATGTCTGTGCTTGCCCCAGATTGTACCTGATGGAAACGGGTAGGGATGCTCCGATACCCATACAAGCATCGGTATCGGCGGCGATACCGAGTATTTGCATGAGTACTCGTGCAAATACTCCGATACAAAAAACGAGTACCTGTGCCGCGTCCGGCATCTTCAGGGACCCGGAAACCGCCGCACACAGGACCTCCATAGCGTCTTCAATGAAACAAGAAACAATGAAATAATGAAACAAGATGGCCGCGAACTCCTCAGTCATCTGCTCCATTCTGACCTCTTCTCCCGCTAATTGGCCGATTGGATGATTGACAGGCTTCCTCACCAGTCAGGAGTGACTGTCGCTCTGAGGAAGGATCCCTGTGTGGACCCGAAACGTTAGCACCGTATGACAGTATGTGACATTGGGTATTGAATAAGCATATCAATACTTTAAAAACCCTTCAAGTGTGTGCCGGTGATTTACTTTTATTTACTATTAGTGTTTTGCACGGCGCCATCCGTGTGGTCACCTTGGCACCACATATACCTTGTGGTTTTGAGACCGTGGCAGTGCGGATGGGATTTTGGACTTTGTAGTGAGGAAGCCTGTCATCATCCAATCGGCCAATCAGCGGGAGAAGAGGTCAGAATGGAGCAGATGACTAGGCTGTGACACGGAGTGGCTGAAGCAGACGGAGAAGACGACGCAGCAGGTTAGTACTGCAGCACCATATATACCAAAAAGATAAACCAGCTAGCAAGAGTGGCTGGTTTAAAAGGGTTAACAGAGGATCGGGACAAGTATAACAATTACAAAAAGAGTTTATTACCAAAGGATAATACGTTCCATATAACGTATTATCCTTTGGCGTCCACTGGTATCTGAAATACACGTATTAATCTCCAGTGGGAGAAACAAGGAAGTTACATAGTAGCACCTTCTTAAAAAATCAGTTTCTTTCCCACATGGTGTCAGCTGATTAGCATATATGAATGAGAGCACACTATACAAACAGATCTGCATACCTGAAGATTTATAATTGTATGTCATGCTTTTTTGTTTGTTTTTAAAACCAGTTAGTGATATGATATTTATGTCCAAAACTGATATTTTATCTAATAAACTCTTTTTGTAATTGGAATACTTGTCCCGATCCTCTGTTAACCCTTTTTAAACCAGCCACTCTTGCTAGCTGGTTTATCTTTTTGGTATATATGGTTCATTTTGGTTACGGATCTGGTTGACAAGTAATTATGAGATAAAGGGTCATTTAAATGGTTTGGATCTCCAGGCAGAAACAAAATCGTTTTCTATTAGTACTGCAGCACCGCATGGGGGCTGGGCACAAGAATGCTGTTTAACTGCATATAATATTTTAAAAAAGACATTAAATAAAGAAATAACTATGTAGATATTGCTAACTAAGGCTTGTATCCTCCTAGTGGGGAAAATAGATGAGCACATGTCCAGACACTGTATAGTGTGGCACAGCTATATCCAATTCTGCATACCTGGCTTTATATTATAAAAATTTTTAATAAAGCCAGTTATACAGAATTGGATATAGCTGTGCCACACTATACAGTGTTCTGGAGTCTGGACATATTTTATAATATAAAAAAAAAGACATTGAATAATGAAATGAACTGAATATTTAGATCATGTCATTGCTAACTAAGGCTTGTATCCCCATAGTAGGGAAAATAGATGAGCACATGTCCAGACTCCAGAACAGTGTTTTATTTTATAGTGTGGCACAGCTATATCCAATTCTGCATACCGGGCTTTATATTATAAAGTTCTTATAATATGAAGCTTGGTATGCAGAATTGGATATAGCTGTGCCACACTACACAGTGGTCTGGTCATGTGCTCATCTATTTTCCCCACTATGGGGATACGAGCCTTAGTTAGCAATGGCATGATAAATATTCATTTCATGTTCATGTTTTTCATTTTATTAAGGAACTGACCTAAAATCATGATTTTGTATTGCTTTAGAAAAAATGTGACCTGTCCCTTTAAGAAAAAGTATCGGTACTTGTACTCGGTCTTAAAGTGGTATCGGAACATCCCTAGAAACGGGTACAAGAATTTTGGCACAAACACCACCATTTGCAGTCCAGAAGCGGACTGAGGCTGAAGTTTCTATACTGGCTGTCCCCATTGACCTCAGTAACCATGAACCAGATAAAATCAGGCTCCAGTGTGACTGACAGCAAAGTATGAAAGCCTCCCACTGCCTGCTGTCAATCAGCAGCAGAGTGGACCTGAAGGGAAACTAGTCCTTCTGCATCCCCATCAGGCTCTGCCCACTGTTGGTGTACTGGTTGGTAAGGACACTGTTGGCTGTGTAGATGCCTTTTTGGTTATGGTATCTGCTCACTGCCTGCTGTCAGTCACAAGGGTAGCGGCCCTGATGGGGAACTAGCCCCTCGGCATCCCCATCAGACTGATTGGCTGCAGTCACTGTTCGACTGAGATTTTACAGACCTGGCTTCTTCAACTGAAGTCGATTGAGGAATATTCTTTTGTCAAACGGGGGGTCCCAATGGGACCACACAGTGGTAAAAAGGTAACCAGTGTATGGCCAGCTTAATTGTGTTATTCTGAAACCGTTTATCAGAAACTTTTGTTTGCCTTTTTCAGGAATGAACTCCATTCTCGTTTATGTTGGCCATGAAGTATTTGAAAATTATTTCCCATTCAAGTGGAAGATGAAGGACAGTCAGTCTCACGCTGAGCACCTCACCCAGAACCTTGTTGCCACTTCCATATGGGTGCTGATTGCCTATATCCTGTACAGAAAGCGGATATTCTGGAAGATTTGAGCTCATAGTAGTTTTAGCCTAACAATATGGTAACAACTACAGGAAGTGCAATTTGAGAGCTGTGCTATTTCTTTGGAACATCTTAGACTATATATTCTGGACCATAAGTTTGCTGTCTAACTGCGTCTCACCTATTTTAACAGATTGTTTTACTTTGTGGCTTATTACAGAAAGCACGTAATGAAAAGAGGTTAAAGGGAAGAATTTTAATTTTTATACGTTGTCAGCAACCTAACGTCTAATGTATGTTAAATTAAAAAATGCAAACACTACTACTATGCTGCAATATAAAGTATTTTGTCTGTCTTGCCTATTTTAACATGTTTGTGCCCAGAAATGTACAGCTGGCTTGTCTTTGTCCTGATGATTTTAGCTGTTTAGGTTTATAGACCATTGAAGAGGATCTGATGGAAAAAGTAGCCTCTCAACCATCCTAATTTTTAGCATGCATATTAGAAGTACATGTTTGAATAAATATGCTAAAAGCTTGTCATCCTTCCTTGGGTGGCTGGTTTGTGGTCTCTACTGATGCACACAATCTTCAGTGGCCCAGTAGCAGGAGATTGTTCAGGCAGACCTGCTGATTGGCTGACAGTGCTTGAATGTTAGTGATCTCAGATCTTACAGAAGAAACAGTACGTGTCCAGCCAGAGAAGGCTTAGTGCCCCCATTTAGCATATTTGATGAGCTATTACTTTTAATATGTATGCTAACTATCTGGAAGTCATTCTTTAATAGTAGAAATACGCATGGCAATTTTTAGGCAAATTCAACGACTTCCACCATCTCAACAAAATCTGTTGATGGTACGTTTTATTATTTTGGTCCCTTTTGCAATGAAAAGCTTGTTGAAATTGTCTGAATATTACTGTGTGGCTAGCCCGAGGCTACGCTAACAACTCTGTGTTTTTCACAAGGTGCAGTTGCAGTGCTGGGTGTTTTTACACATTACCAATGATCCCCATTGAAGGCGTACTTCATCAATGCACTAAATCTCAGAGATGTAAATGTAGCTTTAGGTCTTGTACACATGGGCTTCCATCTATAAGAGCCATGTGTACGGTAAGCTTTTAGAAAGCATTTAAAGTAACCCTAAAGCCAAAGTTTGTGGACATTAAGCTCAAGTGCTGACTGTCTCCTCAGAAATGGATGAAAAGTGTTTTAAAGGCTTCAATAAAGCTGCTCGAAGTTTGGCAAATACTTTTTCCCGACAGCTCCATGGCAGCACACAATGGGTGTAGGCTCCGCCCCCCGAATCTGATAGGATGTTTAACTCTTAAAGTTGAGCCTCCACCCAGCCACTAACGTTTCTCCTTAGGAGTCTGTTAGGTGATAGCGATGGTCGCTTACCTGGCCATTGTAAACCTGTGGCCTTCCACCCTTGGTGCAGTCCCTTCCTTTGCCCTGCGGGGTATGTGTGGGGAAGCCTCTCCTGGTCTCAGGCTTTGTGTGGCCCGGTAAATCCGGGATTATGTGTCTCCATTTTGGGGGAAGAAATGGCTGTGCTGTGGGGCTGACTGTGTGGCCGCTTTGGGTCTCTCTCTCCTCGTCCAGTGGGCGGAGGGGGAGGCATCGGCTCTTTCACTGCAGACGCCGGGGCTGGAACGCGGATGCGTTCCAAGCCTCGGTATGGATCGCGGGCGGCACATGCGCAGTAGGACGTGATCGGCGTCCTGGGGGCGGAGCCTACAGCGGCGGTATTTTTTAAAATACTGGCGCTGGGACGCCTCTGGGAGTGCTTTCTACCTTGCTGCTGCATCTCTTGGCCGCTCTGCACGGCTGGTGACCCCTCTGGCTTCAGGTAAGCCTGGTGTTTGCTGGGATGCCTGGGTCTGTGTTGCTGGCTGTATCCATGCACTCTGTGACTGGCATTTCTATGTGTTACAGCCTGTTGCTCCCTGCACTATGCCCAATGACAAGCCAACCCCTACTCCAGACCAGCACCTTCAAAGAAGGTAAGCGGCTGTCAGCGTGTGTTTCTACATGGATTGCTGCAGGACACTTCAATGATGGTATGTATTTTTTCTTCTTAGCCCATCTAGATCTTATCGGGACAATTCCAGATCTCGCGAGGAGAGACGCAGGTCTTCCTCGTCAAGGTACAGATCGCCCTCCCGGGACCGCCGACCTCCACGCAGACTGTACCGGGAACGTCATGATTCTCCTTCTGTGGAACGTCGGGCGCGCTCTCCCCAAAGACACCATCCGCAACCTCGCCCTGATCAATGCTGGGCGTGCAGTAATCCGGCTTTGTCTGGGAAGACAGCTTGTGACTCCTGTTTTCAAGACGCCACCAGAGACCGGGCAGCCGACAATCTCCAGGTCGTTTCCCTGATGAAGCAGGTTTTTCAGGAGTCCATGAGGGATTTCGTGGCCTGTACCCAATCCACCTCGCAGCCTCGGCCCAGTACTTCGGGGCAGGACAGAAGCCGGTGGGATCCGGCTGCGACGCCTCTGGAGGTGGACCCCGGTTCAGCCTCTGATTGTGAGGCTTCAGGGTCGGACGTGGACTTGGAGGATGGCTTCGACTTCACTCTGGTCCAGCCTTTCGTTAAGGCCGTTAGACGAGCGTTACAGTGGGAAGATGAGGTTGTCGAACCCGACAAAAAGCGCAGATTCTTCAAGCATGACAGGAAGGAGGCACTCAGCTTTCCTTTTCTAGTGGAACTCAAAGAGATGATCACTGAAGAGTGGAGCCAGGGGGACAGGAAAACTGCATTTCGGAACCGCTTTTCCAAACTGTATCCCTTCAAGAAGGATGACTTCAAGGAGCTGGAGGTGGCTCCTGTCGTAGACGCGGCTGTCATGCGTCTAGCACGGCACGTGACATTACCGTTAGATGACGCAGTCTCCTTTCGGGATGTCCTTGATCGCCGCATTGATTTCGACCTTAAAAAGGTATTTTTGACGGCAGGCAGTGGCTGTAAACCGGCCTTTGCCCTAGCCTCAACCTCTAAGGCGCTTGAAGTGTGGACAGATGCCGCAGTTACCGCCCATCTTGGTAAAACTGAGATATTGGACACCCTCAGGAACCTCAAATTGGCATCCACTTTCATTGCAGAAGCCTCCATTGATGTGGTGCGTTTCTTGGCGAGGGTTATGCTGCTGTCGGTTACTGGACGCAGGGCCCTGTGGTTGAGGCCGTGGGTAGCTGATCCCACCTCCAAGCAGGGGTGGTGTCTTATTCCCTTCAATGGGCAGTCGCTATTTGGCAATAAACTGGATTCGGCCATTTCCAAAGCCACTGGGGGGAAGTCGGGCTTCCTCCCTCAAGACAGACGGCTTTTGCGACAGTAGAATGCTCGCTTCCGCGAGGGTAACCGTACTTCCTATAGGGATGCAAAATCCTACAGGCCTGGCAAACAGTTCAGGAGGCCTTGGAAGGCCGCTTCCGCATTCTCCAAGCCAAAGAAGGGACCCTCTCCCTCTACACAGGATCGTCAACAGTCCTTTTGAAGTTTTGCCCGCCCAAGCCTGTCAGGTGGGGGCCAGGTTGATCACCTTTGGACGGATTTGGGCGGCCAATATAGAAGATCGGTGGGTGGTGGACACAATTTTACGGGGGCATGCTTGGACCTTCATTCGGCACCCCCGACTTTCCTTTGTTCCTACCCGGCTGCCAGAATGCACCAGCAAGCGGACAGTACTTTTGCAGTATGTGAAGTCCCTTCTTTCCCAAAGGGCGATGGTGGCGGTACCGTGCCAGGAGCGTTTTTTTCGTATATTCTCCCTTATTCCTGGTTCAAAAGAAGACAGGCGATTGGAGACCCGTGGTGGACCTGACATACCTCAACCGCTTCATAGAGAGGATCCATTTCAAGATGGAATCTTTACAGACCATACTAAAAGTTATCCAGCCTGGAGATTGGCTTCTCTCTATAGATTTAAAAGACGCCTACTTTCATGTGCCTGTGCATCCACATTTTCATCCATTCCTGCGCTTCGCTGTGGGGCAACTCCACTTACAGTTCGGGTGCCTACCCTTCGGGCTCACCACCTCGCCCAGAGTTTTTACAAAGGTTCTGCTCTCACTGGTGGCTTTTCTCAGGATAAAAGGGGTCAGGATTAATCATTACCTCGACGACATCTTACTGCTCAGTCACGACAAAGATATATTACTAGCTCATCGGTCCCTGGTGCTTTCCACTCTCAAAGACTTTGGCTGGATCGTCAATGTCACGAAGAGTCACTTGAGCCCTTCTCAGAACCTGGTGTACCTGGGGGCACAGATAAACACGGTCTGTGCCCCTTCCTCGAGAGAAGCTACTGGACGTGGTTCCGAGGATTTCCGTGGCCTCGGTAGCTGTATCCCTTTCGGCCGCTCATTGTCTCAGGATAGTCGGCACGATGGTCTCCACGATCCCTATGGTGCAATGGGCGCAGTGGAGATCCAGGCCATTCCAGTCCGCTTTCCTGGCGCAGTGGCGTTCGGGTCGCATGGACCAGAGGATCCGGATCAGCCCCTCCATGAGGGACAGTCTTCATTGGTGGCTGGACGACTCCAACCTTCTCCATTGTCACTGCTTCTCCCCATTCAGTGGATTGTGGTGACTTCAGATGCCAGCAAATTCGGATGGGGGGGCAACCTGCCAGGGGCGCTCGGCTCAGGGGCAGTGGCGCTCCTCCATGAAAGGAGCCATTGCAAATGTGCTGGAGCTGAGAGCGGCTTTTCAGGCCCTGCTGGCATTTCGGGATCTGATCCGGGACCGCTCCGTCCTGCTACGCATGGACAATGTCACAGCTGTGGCTTACGTGAGGAGACAAGGGGGGACTCGCAGTTGGAGTCTTCTAGTGGAAGTGGCCCCTATGATGTCATGGGCCCAGAACAACCTCTTGCATCTCACGGCCACATATATTCCGGGTCACTCCAACCTTCAAGCGGACTACCTGTCTCGAACTTATCTGGACAACAACGAGTGGTCCCTTTCCCAGCCGGCCTTTCGGAGCCTGACGAGATGGGCCTTCCTCCCGCAAGTGGACTTCTTTGCGTCCCCCGTGAATGCCAAACTGCCACGGTTTGTCACCAGATTCCCGTGTCCCCAGGCAATGGCCATGGACGCTCTTACGGCGGATTGGACTTTTCAGACGGCATATGCCTTTCCGCCTGTTCCGATGATCCTCGGTTTCCTGAAGAAGCTCTCCGGGGAGCCAGTGACGGTATTGGCGGTACTGCCGCGTTGGCCTCGGCGCCCCTGGTATCCTCTTCTATGCCGACTGTCGGTGGTGGATCCCTTGCCAATTCCGGTGTCGAGGGATTTGTTGTTCCAGGGTCCGTTGTTCCATCCAACTCTGGAGAAACTCTGCCTAACGGCCTGGATCTTGAAAGGCGGCAGTTGATCAGTATGGGGTGTTCGGCAGCTGTTGTCAGCACCCTGTTGAATGAATGCTAGAAAATCTAAGATGAACAAAACCTATAACAGGATATGGGTGAAGTTCGTGGACTTTGCAGCCCTTCACGCCTTCTCTCCGGCATTGCCTCAGGTGTGCCATGTGCTGGATTTACTTCAAGGGGGTCTCGACCTGCACCTGAGCCTTGGTACTCTGAAGAGCCATGTTTCCGCTATTTCCACTTTCACCGGAGTGAGATGGGCGCTTTAATCCCTTGGTCGGGAAGTTTTTCAGGGCAGTTATACGGGTCAGAGCACCCAGACAATGGCTGTTCCCCAAGTGGGACTTGCCCTTGGTCCTTGACTTCCTGGCCTCAACGGAGTTCAATACTGATCTGTCTCTTTGGCGCCTCACTTTGAAGACGGCCTTTTTGGTGGCCATTTCCTCGGCCAAGAGTGTCTGCGATTGCTGCGTTGGGGTGCGCAGAGCCATTCACCACATTCTTCGCAGACAGAGTGGTTCTAGTACTAATGCTTGGATTCGTTCCGAAGGTCGCCACAAGCTTTCATATGAGTCAGGACATTGTTCTTCCCTTGTGTGACCCCCAGCGACTCAGGGCAGCTGGCTCGGTTAGATGTGGGAGGTTCCTTGCATTCCTACATTGCTGTTACTGCTCCATTTCGATCCTCGGAGAACCTGTTCGTCATACCTGCAGGACCTCGGAAGGGACTAAAGGCTTCTGTGCGTACTATCTCTTCCTGGATGGTGAAGGTGATCGCCTTAGCATATGGTGCAAAGGGGTTGGCAGTACCCGGGCATGCTACTGCTCATTCTACAAGGAGCGTTTCGACTTCCTGGGCAGCCATGAGAGGCGTCTCTCCTGAAGTGATCTGCAAGGCAGCTACGTGGTCTTCGATTCATACCTTTATGCGTCACTACTGTATTGAGCCTGCGGCTTTGACCACTGTGGAGTTTGGCCGTACGGTTGTAGCTTCTGCATCTTTGTCTAATTAAATTCACTTGCATTCCCACCCTTGTATTGTGCGAGTTATTTCCCATTGTGTGCTGGCATGGAGCTGTCGGGAAAACAGGAAAATTGTATTACCATACTTACCGCAATTTTCCTTTCCCGACTGCTCCATGGCAGAACATTCCCGCCGAGTCGGAGTTGCACGTTACGTAACGTTAGTGGCTGGGTGGAGGCTCAACTTTAAGAGTTGAACAGCCGATCAGATTTGGGGGCGGAGCCTACACCCATTGTGTGCTGCCATGGAGCAGTCGGGAAAGAAATTGCGGTAAGTATGGTAATACAATTTTCCTGTTATAAAAGCTTCCTGTACAGATGGCTCTTGTGCAAGCTGTGGCCAGTGTGTACCTGGTGGCACTAATTAATCCAATGTGTATTTTATTTCCGCTGCTGTGGAATTTTTTTTTTTTTTAAATTCTCTTTTACAGTAGTTTTTCATTATTACCTGAAATCATTTGTAAAGAAATGTGTTTAAAATACTCAGTAAAGCTTATACACAAACATTCTTGTGATTTTCTTTACTTTTATTTTGCTGCTTTTTATAAAGCGTTGCACATTGGTATGATTGGTGTAAGTGTTGGCATTTTATTTTAAGTCTTTGGAGTAAACAGCATTGCATGATCACAAAACAATCTGGGTGTATTGATTTAGATGTCTTTTGTGCTCTGCAGTTCCTGGTATATCAATTTAAAAAAATCCATAAGCGCTAACCCTATGTATTAAAAGATGGCTTGTTTGCTTTATGTGCACTCGTGATTGCAGCTCTTAGCTCTGCAGCCAAGATATATTTAAGCGCAACTGTACCTTCAATAATAACAACCTACCTCCACCCAGTCTGTATCAGTAATGGTAATATTGAGGTATAATGCAGATTCACTGTAAAAGTCCACCACCCTTTCTCCAGTACTAAATATTTATCTTGCAGCCCATAAGAATAGGGCTTGACCATAAAGAAACAACAGAGGCTGCCATTATTCTTGACAGCCATTTTCTGATAACCCAAGTTGTATGAAGAAATTCTCAGAACAGGAAAGGCGGTGCTGGTAGGGTGGGCAGTGAAGATTACCCATTGAAATATGGCAATAAGGGGGAATGGAGCCTGTCTAAAGAAAACACTTCACTTCTGTGTGTTCTGTATGACATGGTAACCTTAAGGCCCCGTTCATACCTGGGCGTTTTACAGCGCGTTCCTACGCTCTGTAAAAATGCTCAACATGTGAAAACCAATGATTGCCTATGGGCATGGGACGATCCTATGACAATAGGCTTTGGATTACAAACATCAGTTCCTTCTGGGATACAGGATAAGTGCCCCCAAAACCACTGAGGCTACCTGTGGCAGTGGGGCTGTCTTAACAAAAACATGTTGTGCCCACATAGGGCCTAGTTGCACACTTAGGGCCTAAGTGTGCAAGGCCTCCAATACTCACAAAAGGGGGCAGCCGGTGCTTTAGGAGCAGGAACAATGAGATGATGCTTCGCCCACGCTGAATCACAAAAGAGAAAGCAAAGAGCACACACAGCACTCCACTGAGCCAGATGAGGGTAGTGCTCAATCCCTCACTGTAGTAAAAGTGGCAGTGATGGGAATTTTAAAGAGGCACCAATGGTGCAATTAGTGAGGTGGCCCGCACTGCTTCAGCACACCTGGGGCTTTAGCGCTGCACACAGAAAACACTAACAGTTGGCTAAGGTCCATAATGTGGAGCCCAGTGCCCAAAGGTCACATTCTAGGCTAACCCCGCCCCCCCCCACCCCAGTGGGGTCTGGGTATGGCCTTCAATGCTGGAGCCGAGTAACTGCTATGTAGAGAGCAGCTCAATTGGAAATGTAGCAAAAGATCTTAATTATATACATATACTTTATTTCTTAATAAACATGATTTGTGGTATGTGTGTGTAATATATATATATC